AAGTCCTGATGCAAATGCACGGACATGTGCTTTAGCTCCATCGGTGCACTTCTTAGGCTTTCAGCTCAGCAGCAATTGCATTTCCTGACCAAAGTGACATTTCCCTACAAGACGTAAAACATGTGTCTGTTTCCTGAATGAACCTGGGCAAATATATGCTCCAGCACTGCTTCTCAAAAAGCTGTCCTTCTTGGGTATAACTGAGATCCAAATCTAGGAGCCTAGCCATGTGCTGGGAAGGGCTGGGGCTCAATGGGAGAGCATATGCTTTGCATGAAGGGCCCACATTGACTCCCAGACATCTCCATGTGGGAGTGGGAGAGACACCCCCCCCCCGGAGGGTTGTTGCCAGTCTGTGTAGAGACAACACTGAGCCTCAACAGTTTAACTCCGTATGAGAAGGCAGCTTCCTGAGGGGATCTTATTGACGTTTATGGACCTAACAGCAGCATGGTAAACAACCAAAGCAGCAATGTTCCCCAGGGTAATCCCTCAAAACATATTGCAGTACCTTTAGCACATTTATTGCAACATGAGCTTTTGTGGACTAGAATCATGAATGGCGCTGATAGTGACATTTAAGGAACATATAACTTGATGATACGAGCACAGTAGTAGGACACTATTGACCCCAGAAAAACAAAGTAGGTAAGATGCCTCTGTAATAAAACATTGCAGTGGGACGTGATTCTGTCTCGCCACTCCATTGCATTCGCCCTGCCCCAGGTTTTCCTCCTACCCACCCAAAAGTCAGCATTCTGTGCATACTGAGCATGCTCAGTTCTTATTGGCCTGTTTTGCTCTCACCCAACCCCCCACCAATTTTGGGTGGTTTTTTTTTGGGGGGGGGGCTAATGTGAATGTGCCCAGTCCACCATTGAGTTCTATGGGCTGCCCTTGTTTCTTCCCGTTGCTCCTCAGTGTGAACCAGGAAATAACCTATCCAGACCATAACATGTTTCTCTCTACATATCCCCCCCCAGCCACTCAGTTCCCACTCCCATCTTGTTTACACTCACTCCCCTTCTTGCACTGAAGTCCCTGTCCCATTCAATAGAATGGAAAGGTAGTTAATTATAAGTTTAAGGTTATATTAACTAAAATTTGTAGTCAGGTCGGGTAGATAATAGCCTGCCAGCAAAGGCGCTGCTTTGATTTTAAGATGGCTACATTTGCCTTTAATATTTTAGGCACTTTATAAATGATACAAGAGCTGGGAAAAGGATCAGTGAAGTTACTATGGGTGTGGGGAGGGCAAGCAAACTCTGGCTCCTGAACTGGACAGGTGGAACAGAATTGGAGGAGAACAGTTCATCTTTAGCAACGGCTTCACAGTTATTCCTTTTTCCTCCCTTAAGAAACCCGATCTCCCTTAACAACCTGCTGTCACAGTGGCCATAGCAAGATGTCTTCAGTGCCCAGCCACCATTCTCTTGTCCCACACTGCCCCAGGCAAAGCTCTCTTTTTACTATTTAGTATCACCATCGTTTGTTGGTTTACAGTGCTAAAGGTTAATCATCACCCCCTGGATTTCAGTGTCTTGGTTTTGCTACATGGGAGCAGTGCCTTGGCAACTGGGTTCCACTTCCTACCAGCCTTTGTGGGAGCACACACCCCAGGCATGCAGCACCTATGTTTCCTAGCCTGTCAAAAGCATTGCATAGTAGTAATTCAAGAATATTGCTTCAACCTGTTGCTTCACTCAACACCAACCCTTCCCCTGCCAATACATAATTTTCTAGCTGGTGAGAAATTATTCACCTTTCCCTCCAGAACCCATGCTCACAATCAAGAGAAGGCGGATGGAGCGCGGGTGGGAATCTGGTCTCCTTTTTGTTTTTTTGTCTTAAGTACAAATAGGTATTTTTGAGGCTTCCAAAATTATGGCATTGCATTGTAATTAGGAAGCAATTTAACGACATTTAAGAAACAATTATGTTGCATTTAATCTGTGCTTCAGCTGTTTCCTGGCATTCTTTTTTTGGAATAGAGCCATCAGAGGTAGTAGTAACCATGGAAGGCTTTGTCCTCCATGGATTTCACGAGTCCCCCTTGAAAGATGTCCTAGTTGGTGTCTGGCACTACACCTTATGGTATTGAATTCCATAGTGTACATTCTGTAGTTGTCAGAGCATGAGCTATGTGTCAAAGCCTCCTTTCATGTGGAAAGTTAGCATGCCAGGGAGAAGGTTGCTAGGGTAGACTTCTCCCTTATATGTTCAAGCAGCTTTTGGCATTCTGGACTCTTCTTTTCCCATGAAAACTACACCATGTTCTCTTCCCGCAAGTCTGAGTAAGTTCTCAGTTTTTGACCACACCAAATGCATTTATCTGTGCATATTTTCTTGTACTCCTGAAGGATTCTCAATGAAGACTACTGCTTTGCTTGTACCCTATATCCTATCCCCCTTTCTTAAAAAGCAATCACCCGAGTTTGAAAGTCAGCCTTCAATTGATTTTATGAATGGAGACTACAAATTTGAAAGAAATGAATTTTGTGAAAAAAGCAATGCTATTGTTTAAAAGTTATTAAATAAATTATTACATGGTAGTTCTGTGCACAGTGAAGCCACAGAAGCAAACACCTTATAAATAATCATCCTGAAGTTTATTTGCCTCCTGCTCTTCAAAATTATGCCCAAAGCAGCTCACAAGAGAACAGTAAACAAACCATCAATATATAGGTTGAACAAAACCATAAGTATTCCAAGTGCATTTCACAAATGTAGTATTTCCCCCCTCCCCATATGTCATTTGTTTAAATGAATAATGCAAGGAAATGTTTCCCTAGCTGGCATGAGGGTTAAGTGTTCTCAGGGCCAAAACTAAGGTTTTGGCTTATCCAGGACCTGAAACCGATGAAAGACCCTAGGCACCATCAGCAGCCATCTTTGTAGTTGGAGTCTGTTCCAAACCAGGTAGAACTGAGCCAGGCAGAGAGCAGGGACTATGTCTGGCAAGACTCACACAGACTTTATATTATATCAAGGCTTTATACCAGGGTTAAAGAGAGGCTCCACAGGACTTTTGGGGGGGTCACGTCATTAGAATATGACACTAATTATTCTGCTACTTGCTTACTTATGCAACCCTATTGCCTGGGACTGTTAAGAAACAGTGGTCTGCTAGCAGGCTAATAAAATGAAATTTCCTCCTTGAGACAACTCTGCACTTCACAGATCTGTCAGGAAGCTCACTAGGTGTATAAGTATTTAGGCAGGCTGCTTGTTGAGCAATGCATAGCAGGAGTTGCTGCTTGTCTGGAAAAGCTGCTCCCACCGCAATAATTCTGATCTTTTTCTGCCTTCTTTCTAAAATAATACCAGTAGTATTATTCATTAAAATGTGTATTGCAGCGCCTAGAATCATTTATCCTCACAGCAATGCTGTTTGTGAGGTAGGTTGGTATTATTGCTACTAACAGTAAATCTCACTCTGAGAAACTCTTGGGGAATGTCTCCTCTCCCCAGAGAAACTGAGTGAAATGATCCTCCTCAGTTTGTTTGCTCACAAGTAGGATGGCGGATTTTGAGAGACCTTCTGCATGCACAAGTCAACTTTTGGTGTATGACCTTGGTTGAGAAGAATATTTGGGTGAGAAAATGAAGAGATAAGCCACCGGGGGCAGGGGGTTCCCCGCTTCTCATCCATGCATCATTTTTGCTTTTTAATCCAGACTCTACCACTGACCTTACCTTCTTGATTGAGGCCACCATCACACCTAGTTTGGCCCTGTAGTCTGTTTACTGTAGTACAGAACAAAGATGCAAGTAGTATCAAATCATTACAAAGGAAGAGACTATTCCTGCTTGGCAGGGGGTTGGACTCGATGGCCCTTGTGGTCTATTCCAACTATGATTCTATATTAGAAGGATGGTGAACATCAATAAGTGATGAATGAAAACAAAGTGGGCCATTCTTTTGCATCTGAATGGATGTCGACAGAATTTCATTTATTGCCCTCTTGACCCTCAAAACATAGAATAGTAGAGTTGGAAGTGACTACGAGGGTCATCTAGTCCAGTGTTTCCCAACCTTGTGCCTCCAGCTGTTTTTGGCCTACAATTCCCATCATCCCTTGCCACTGGTCTTGCTAGTCAGGGATGATGGGAGTTGTAGGCCAAAAACATCTGGAGGCACAAGGTTGGGAAACACTGATCTAGTCCAACCCCCTCCCTGCCATGCAGGAATCTTTTGGCCAATGTGGGACTCAAACTCACAGCCTTGAGATTAAGTGTCTCATGCTCTACGGACTTGCATTTCAACCCCAACCTGAAAAAGGGTTGAAGTAGAAGAGTGAAGAGACCGCCAAGATGGACTCATGCCACATACTCCATTACATGAATCATTTTACATTCTAAATGCTGCTTAGGAAACGTAGTCTGGTCTGTGGTATTGTTCTCTGTGTGTCTCTCTGTCACACACACCTGAAAATATTTACTGAAAGAAAAATCTGAAAACGGTATCAAGAAGTCGGGTTGCATATTCCCTGGCTATTACCACATTAGGTTTTTATGCCACTTTAAATTTTTACCATTTGAAAACCTATCTTAGGACAGTTCTGCTTGTGTGTCTAATCAATATTTGCCACATAAGAGATTCTGACAATTCGGTCCTTGCTTTCTTTTCATTCTTGGGCAACAAACCCTTCCTTTTTAGATCAGGTGGGTCAATACTTGGTGACGTTCCATGTGACTCTTGGTTTGAGGACAAAAGCTGCATGCCTGCTACTCTTTCTGCAACTCCTTCCCATCTTTTCAGCCTTATCTCAACCATTTCCCAGTCAAACCCTCCAGACCTTGAGTTCACGCAAAACTGCTTTTGGATTCCTTTCCCTAGGGAGTTTTCCCTGAGTATCAAGGGCTGAATTTGACTGAGATTTGAGTAAATCTCACCAATGTGCATGTTTTTTCTTCACTGATTCATGGAGCTCATGTGACTTCTTTTCATTCATGCGACCTCTTACTATATCCATCATTCCATTTTTCTTTCCTATTAGAGTGAAATTGGACACAGCCCTCCTCCTGCCTACGCCCCTATGTCAGGAGTAAGTATTTCCCAATCAACCTTCATCAATTAGGGGTTTGTCTGTCTTTTTAAAAACATTTCATTCCTTCTCTTTTCTTTCTAAATTCCATCACGTGCCTGTCAGGGGCTCAGGAACAGAGGCACAGGGGAGAGAGGAAATGGAGAGCGAGGGGGAGGAATCTGGGGGCAGCGGAGGGCAGAATGACAGTGACCCGAGAGATTCCATGAGCCTCTCCAGTGAATCAGAAGATTCCCAGAAGGGAGCGCCGATGGCCAGGGCAAGGGGGGTCCCAGGGGGGACACACCAGAAGCAGGGGGCCAGCGGGGACTCCCAGAGCAGTAGCTGGAAATCAGGGCCAGCTTCCCCACCGGAGCGTAGTGGGGGGAAGAGTCTCATAGGTCAGAGTCAGCGTCTCCTACGGCAAGCAGCGACAGGAGCAGTATAACGGTCAGAAGGAAGGTGGCAGGCTGGGCGCGCACGCCAAGTTCAAATGTACAGGCGCGCGGGACAGCAGAAAGCCCGGATTGGGAACCAGGTCCTAAAGCTCGCCGGAGGGAGGGGGAAGACTCGGGGGAGTCAGCGTCAGAAGAGTCTAGAAAGGGGAAAACCCCGGCGGACAGGCGGACCCAGAGGAAGAGGGAGCAGAGAAAGAGTTGGAGCAAGGCTAGGGTCTTAAACTGGTGTCTGGGGGGAGGAGACTCAGACGGAGCTTCGGCGGTCTAGGGTTTAAGACGTAGAGCTGCGCGCCGTGGCTGTAAATGAGAAACTGAACTTCAATAAAGACTATTTAATATAGCAACGGACTGGCCTTGGTCCTCTGTGAGCTGGGACCTGGGGCAGCTCTGACAGTGCCTCTCACCCATTTCGTCAGTTCTAGTTCCAGAACTTACCATGTTCTTGAGGGACTGAGTGGTCTCTCTGATCTCAGTGGAAATTCTACTGAGAGCTTGGAATTCTACAAAATAAAACATCACCAGGGTTTAATATCTGCTTCAGAATAAGTTCCTATTTTACCTTACTGTCAGGTGTTGCTAATTCATTAGTCAGTTACGTTCTCAGCTTTCCTGATAACCAGAAATTGTTATGATTTAAAACAAGGGAGTACAGACGGATTAGGAAGCCACTCTCGAGCCTAAAGGCATCTTGCTGGGGGGAGGGGGAGACCCCTGTAAGTTTGAATGTGCTACTTGCATTTCTCATTGAATTAGGGGTGTGTGCAGGAGTGGCACCGCTTGTGGCAAAATGGGAGGTGCCACCCTGCCCTGCTGCCACTTTCTGCACCACCCACCCCTGCCGGCAGAGAAGCAGTGCTGGCACTGGTGTCAATTTCAGGTGAGGTCTCGCATGATCTGCAAGATTCCACATGATTTTGGCGAGATCTCACCTAAAATGGGCACCAGTGCTGGCAGCGGAAGCAGCAGGGCAGGTGGGGTGCCCACAGGGATGCTGCCTCAGGGACTAGGGCCACCTGAGACAGAGGCCTTACCCTGCCTGTGTGTGTGTGTGTGTGTGTGTGTGTGTGTGTGTGTGTCTCCATTCTGATCAGTTATCAGATACTGGAATGCCCCAAGGAGAGGTGCCCATGTCTTAATTTATAATTAATATCTCTGAAGTTTGAAAAATCTTCCTTCATAAGTTAAAGAAGGTGACACATAACAGATGCCAATTGATTTTAAATTTGCTGTATTAAGATGTTTGTTTTATGCTGGAAATGAAAGATGGGCAGTTTTCAATAGCTAGTTTAGATTAATCCCTTTTTCAGTCTCTCTCCAACATATGCAGAGGCAAGAGTCTGCGTTACTGATCCAAAAAGGTATGAGTTTCAATACCAGTGCATTTTTAGTACCAAGTTCTTTATTAGGGCATTGTAGCAGTTACAGAAAAAATATATAACTAATACCGGGGGAAATGGACATATAATACTAATAAACAGTACCTCATTAAACAAAATAATGGTCAAAATAATGGACAAGCACCAATAACTCCCCTCTGCAAAAAACCCAAACATCCCTTATTTGTAACAAATATAAGCTAAAGGGAATAGCACCTCTCAGAATACTCCCACGACCTGTTAAGTAAGAAAGAAAACATCAAACTTACAAGAACTAAGGCCCTATACAGGTCACAGTTGTATATAAAATCACTCTCTTTATATAGACTTAAAGTATGTGGTGAAGCTACACACAAAATGACAGGAAGTACAATATAAGATCATCAGAAAATCTTATTTTATGATAATTTCTTGAGATGATGAGCTCCAAAAGTTGCAGGTAATTCCTGCAAGAGTAACTGATTAATAATCTCCAGAAGCCCACAAGAAAGAAGAAGAAAGTTATCCCCTACCCTTCTATGAAAGATTTCAACCATATCCATATAAAGTTTATTTCTGAAAGAACAAAGATAATTCAACTATGCGTGCTACTTTACTAGATACTGTGCTGCAGTGCTTTTTTGTTGAAAAAATGAGGCTTGATACTCATAAAAGTGCTTTGGGTACCAGCACAAAATGGCTGCCATGGGCAGCAAAAATAAGAGGCGCCAGTACTCTGCAGGTTTAGGCCCGGGAACAAAAGTGTATCCAAAGTGTTTTGCTTAAAGCAAAATTCTGTGGCAAAAGTGGAATTTCCTGCCAATATGAACTGTCTAAGCAAAATTTCTGAGTGATGCTGATATGTACCTGTCTAAATTGTCACTGAGTTTTACCTAAAGGGAATTTTTGGGGTGATTTGGGAGGTTTCTGCTAGGGAGAAACATCTAAGGAACTGTAGGGAAAACAAAATGAATTTGGTAAAAGTGGCAGAATTTCTTGCAGTATATGCACACACTCAAAAAACCACTGCTGAAGCCAGGCACTGGTGGGAATATGATGAGGCAAACAAGGAGAGATGATACTTGGGGGGGGGGAATTATTCAAGGGAGAGTACTGACATGTATGGATCAGAAAGTTCTAAATGACTGCATTAAAAAGGAATTTAATAGAATGTCAACCTGGAATTTTCTATTTTGCCCTCAGTTTTTGAATTTTTGGCAAAATTTTACTAGGTCTTCTGTAAGGTTTTTTCTTTTGAAGATGTGTGCTGTGATACTTGAGGTCTATTCTAATTGGAATACCAGGGAAGCATATCTGGAAAGGAAAAATCAAGTTGAACAAATAAATGAAAATAAAATGTAATATTATATGCAGAAAAGCCCACAAGTACAATCGTTTATGAGTCTCTCGTGTCGTGGTCTGTGTTTCTTACAGAACCAGTTTATCTACAGAGACGGCAGCTTGGCTACCGAACAAGTAATTCCTTTGCCATACCGAGCTGCCATGCCAAGCATAGCACCAGAACTTCCCATCATGCAAAGTGCTGCAGAGATCTGCGATGATACTTGCTGCAATGGCACCTTGCGGAAGCAAGTGACCAGCCTTTCACAGGAAGACAGCATCACTCAGAGGTACAGCGCTGACCCAACAGTTTTTATACCTGAACGGGGGCCAAGAAACGAGCTGGATGAAGATGGATACATGACTCCAATGCCAGAAAAACCCAAAACAGGTATGTAGATACATACGTGTGATAGCAATCATAAGGTTTTGGGTTTGGAATAGGACCTAAGCTGCATCTAAAGGTTTTGAAGGCTAATTTCTAGTAGCAGCTTGGCTTCTAGAGGTGATTGATTATCAATGTTTAAACCTCACTCTTTCTCTAAAGAGCTCCACCTCGATATAAGTTATAGGGCAAAGACAATACTAATAAAGGGATTTGTGCTGCACAAAGAGAAGGGGATATTTACCCAATAACATTGTGAGCTTAGCAAAAGATAAGGAGAGGTTAAATTTAGATAAATTAGAGTGTAAGAAATAAAGGGAGGTTACCCTGTGCAGATTTACAAGGCTATGAAAATATAGAGAGAAAAGTGACATACTCTTTTCTCCAAAGAAAAGAGTCCACTTCCGGTAAAATCACTGCGGGGCTTAACTTCAGACTTCAGTGACTTAGATCATATTTCAATGAGAAATTATCCAGTCTCACCCACGACTGGCCCAAAATCATGCAGTGAGCTTCATATCTATGTAGGGATTTGAATGCAAGTCTCTCTGGTCAAACCTCAATATCTGGAATTGTAAATAATCAAAACTGGAACGATTACCTTGCTTAATCCATTAAGTGTGAGCTTCACCTGTGCCTACTTGACACCTGCTATAGTCTATTTGCTCTGTCTAGAACTACTCTGCCATCATACCTCTTACACTCTGAAAACATTGAAAAAACTACTAAAGAGCAATCTTAAAGATTATTGACACTTATAGTCATGGACAGATGTGAAAGAAGGGAGAAAACCTGGTGCAGAAACGAGATTTTGTTTTTGAACATAGCATGTTGAGACTTTCTCACTGCAGATGTCCTTCATTCCTCTTGTCCTCACCCCTGTAGTTAACCTTCTAGCCATGCTAGTTACAGCCCACTGAGTTTCCACAGTTCTCTTACACTTTTGTTTCTGCAGACCACAGGCTTTTGGCTTGTCTAAGATGTACTGTGTGAAAAGACCTGAAGGTCAGTGTGCACGTATGTCCTGAGCCAAAATGCTACAGTAACATCTCTAACCCAGGAGAGATAGCTTGATTCAGATAGTTTTCGGTCACCTCTCTCTCTAAAATGAAGTATTTCATTTTAAAGTTGTAGAAGAATGACTTTCCTCCCTCGCTAAGCATCTGCATGCCTCCTGGATTTTAATCTGGGATTTCCTGCACTGTTTAAATCAACATATTCATATTTGAGAGTGGAGTTAGCTAGGTTTGTTCCTTGAGGCTATTGTATTTTTCTATGGCCCGTGTATTATGTAACGGTGTTGTTTATTTTTTAATTGTGCTAGTGGCACTTTCATAATCTGCCAGATAACGTTATATGGCAGTGGTGGTTATTGTTCCCCTGAGGATAAGCAATGTAAACAGGAGACATTTTCAGCACTGCTGGAAAAGTTCAGATCAGCTGTGCGTACTTTGGGCTCAGCTCTGTGAGAAATGGAGGCGCCTCCTTGCAGGTTAATATCCCAGGACTGGCCACTTTACAGCAGCAGGGTTCTCTCCTCATGGAAAGGGACTGGCTGAGTGCATACAAGCAGAAGCTTCTGATGTTAGAGGTAAAGGTGCATAAATTTTACTCCAAAGACATCCTCTTAGAGAATAAAGATCCGAGGATAGTGATTAAGTAAACAATAGCCTTTTCTTTCAGGTAGATAGATATCATAAAATCACACAAAACTTTACTCCTGTCAGTTTGTTTTCACTGACCTGAAATAAGCTACAGTTTGTGTCAACCTAAGGTTATTTCAACCTAAGAGTAGTGACAGGGCAGTTTTATGTTGTATGACTAGCTGGTGTTAGATCCGTACCCAAGAAGCTCTAATTCAGGAATGGGAAGTTGTAGCCCCCCCCCCCCAGATGTTACATCTGCCATCATCCCTGGCCTTTGAGCATCCTGGATGGGGCTGATGGGAGTGGCAGCACAACCAAGATATGGATGCCCACAGATTCCCCCACCCAGACTCAACTCTCTCTCTAGCTAGGAATTAGCAACATTTTCATATCAATCCATTGCTTCATGAAGTCTGTTAAAGTCCAGCCCACTAAACCACTTGGAACAACTCACCAGCACAATGCTCATCTGTTTCTTCCTAATATCAGCTGGTATTCTTTTTTTGTAACCCATCATGGTACAGCTTGACAACATAGAAATATTAAAACAAATTTGTTTCAAATTAGGTTCCATTCAGATGTGGTTTGTTTCTTTGGCTCATATGGGTTTTATAATTTCTAGATCACCTGAATCCTGTGGAGGAGAACCCATTTGTCTCTCGGCGGAAAAATGGTGATCTTCAAGCACTGGACAACCCAGAATATCACAACGGCCAAAATGGCCCACCCAAAGCAGAGGATGAGTATGTGAACGAGCCACTGTACCTCAACACCTTCACAGGCACCTTCGAGAATGCAGAGTACCTGAAGAAAAACGGGCTTCCATTTCCAGAGAAACCCAAGAAGGCGTTTGACAACCCAGGTTACTGGAATCACAGCCTGCCCCCACGGAGTACCCTACAGCACCCGGACTACCTGCAGGAATACAGCACAAAATATTTTTACAAACAAAATGGAAGGATCCGGCCCATTGTGGCAGAGAACCCCGAATACCTCTCAGAGTTCTCCCTGAAGCCTGGCACAATGCTGCCCCCTCCACCCTACAGACACCGAAACACAGTGGTGTAATCCCCAAAGCGTGGAAGTCATGGGGGACCCATATACCAGCACTCTCCTTTCTCCTCCGTCTCTGTCTCCCTTCTCTTCTGTCCCTTCTTCTTACCCTCTCTTCTCCTTTTCTTGCCAGTTCTTCCTGCAGGTGGTTGTCTGCAAATGGAAAGGCACAGTTAAGTCATTTGTTCCAGGAAGCCGGGAAGAAAGAAAAGTAAAGAGTGAATGAAGCAGCGGGGAGGGAGGGAGGGAGGCTGGCATTTCTCACTTTCTGTGCACCCGCAGGGCCAGGAGGTCAGACAAGCCAATGAATACTAGTAAAAGCCGGTGGCGGTGTTGCCTGCTGTCCAACTAGTTCTCCGCGTAGCAATTCAGCTTTGATGCTGCAGGGAAAGTCACAACAGTGCCAGCTTCTATCAGCAGGAAATGCTGAGAGCCACCGGAGCAATCCTGGAGGGGGCAGTGCGGTTTTGGGCAGGGGGAGGGAAAAGAGAGGGTAGGAAAGGACATTTTTAATATCATGAGTGATGACATAATGAGATTGAAAATCCGACTTCTTTCTTTAACACTTTATATTCTACCACATAAACAAAATGGCTAACCCAGCTTGCCATTCCCATCTTGTTCACTGTGTCCGTCCATCCGCCCATCCATCAAAGGGATCACACTGAAGATCACATGACTCTCTGGCCAGTCCCCTGTTCTCCACCACTTCTGCAGTTGGGGGTCTGTTTTCTAACTGCACAGACCTAACTTCTTCATGCTTCTGTGCATGACACTACAGGTTTTCTACAGGTCAATAGGAGAACAAATGTTTTGAAAGCAAAAATGATTTCAGGACACAAAGGCCAAAATTATAGGGAAAACAACAACATCTCATTTTTTGAGGGCAAGCCACCAACCAAGATTTATATGCACAGAGCCTCCTGTTGATGTTTTATACTTCTTGAATACAAAATGTAGCTATTTTCTCCTCAGTTTCTTCTGGTTTATCAGCTAAAGTTGGGAAGCAGTAGAGGATACTGAGGACTGGACAGAGGGAGAAAATCCATCGTTGTTGTTCTTTTAATTCATGGTTTTGGGGTTGTTTTTGTTTTAAGGGTGACCTGCTTCTAAAGGAGGCAGGGTCAGGAGGCAGACTTCAGTTCATAAAGAAGAAAACGCACATGGCAGATCACTGGAAAATTCATTTGCACTTAAGCTACGGTTTTAATTTTTGTCCTCACCCTGAACTGTATTCTGGAATCTGAATGAAGCAATATGGAAGTGACCAGCAAAATAAAATAATTTAAAATGTAAAATGAATTATTATTATAATGATATATAAATATAGATATATATAAAAGATGACTGTGGAAAATGCCAAAACAAAGTGAAGTCTTTGGAACTTTGTTCATCAGTGCAACGACTGCTCACAGGAAAACTGTTGAAGGAGTAACTAGCCTTGGTGCTGCCTCAGAAAGGAAAGCTGATTACAGGGCAGGGGGAAATGCGGGAAGAAGTGCTGGACTGACTTGGACTAGCAGACAAAGACTGGTGAGGCCTGCTTATTGCTTTCCTAGCACAAAGAAGAAACACGAAGCAAGGTTTTAGAAATTCCGGGTGTGCATGGCTATTACATTCTCAGTCAAAACTGTAAATAATTTCAAAGCTTTCTCTCATCTACGAACCTTCATTCTCTGCTGGCTTTTACATGCTATTTTTAATTTTTTTTTAAAAAAAGTTTTTTTTAGTTTGTTCCCTTCATGACTGGTTTTTTTTTTTTTTAGCTCGAGTTTATTTATACAGCTCTGAAGACATAATATCTACTAGGGGCAAGGGGGGGGGGAATCACCCTCATTCTTACAGTGCAATCCTGTCTACTCAGAAGCAAGCCCCACTGATTTCAATGGGGCTTAATCCCAGGAAAATGGATTGCGGGCTCACTATATGTCAAATGAAATTGCAGGAGGGGCAATAGTATTTTGTTGTATGCACTTTAGTAATGATTAAAACCAAGCGCGTCGAATAATGGCAGGGAGCTGAGTCAAAATACTTCACATATCCTATTAGACTGAAAACAAGTCAAGGGGTGCCTTCAGCATTTTAGAGAACCATGTTAGGGGATATTTCAAGAACTAGCTTTCAGGTTTATTCTGCTAAATGAACAAAGCTCATAGTTTCAGGAGTTGACTTGTTATAGGTAGCCATTTGCTCATAAAGTATGTTTCTGTGACGCTCCAGCCTCTCTCTGTCACCAAGCAACAGAGTAGTACTTATTTATGGCTGGAATTTAAGGGGCAAAACACCTGTGTGGGGGAAAGGGAATGCTAAAAGTCTCAGCCTTTTAAAAATGGTTTAGCACTGCCCTACTAACCTTATCTCTTAAACACCAACAGAATGACCCCAAAGGCTCTCAGTGACCAAGGCAGGACTCCTTGCATAGCAGTCACATCCAGGGTCCAGAACAGGTGATAGTTCTGCAGCTATCAGCCCAAAACCCCAGGCAAGTTGAGCAGAGAAGAGCCAGGGCATGGAGCCAGGGCGCGGGGAGCTCTTGCCACACCCAATCCTCTGGCCAAGGTAGATTTTGAAAGCACATCATCCTACAAGCCATTGTAGATCCCATGGTTACCCAAGAGTGGCCTCTTGGTATGGTCCAAGTAGCAAACTCAGATTGTGAGGTCATTTTGGGAAGCACTGGTGATCCACAAAGAAATTTCATAGACATTTGACATGTCTTGAGAAAACCCATGGAAGCTTGTGCTTTTGCTTCTTGATGTTTGTTTGTTTGCTTGGGTTTATTGTGTTTTCTGGCTCCTTGGTATATGATGATAGCCAGACATGGCATAAATGTATATTTAAAGATGAGTGATAACTGCCCTCTAGCCACTGTTCCCTGTCGCTGGGATCCAGCATGTTATTCTGGTCACCCTGGAAGCAGGAGTACCAGCTCATCAACTCTCATATATTCTGTCAGCAACACTGGCTCCCACTGCCCTGGGGATCCCAGTAAACATGATGGTGCTTAGCCCGCCTTCCGGTGGCTGCACCCGGTCAACTCTTTTATGTCTGTGCACAGGAGATGCTGCTAGGCAGGAACTCGGGGATTTCTGGTTCTCAAAAGTGCATTCCATATCAGGAGGCATATATTTCTCTGTCTTTCAGACTACAGGTTCTTGAACTTCCTGAACCAGTTCAATCTCTCTCTGCCCAGAACTGAACAAATTATGTACTAAGTTACTACGTGGTGTAATATGACCTGAGCCTCACTGAGCTAACGATGCATATTTCTAGGTTTGTTTTGCTTTAAAGATGGAGCCGAGTGAGACCTGACTTCACATTGGATTGGCCTTATTTCTGCATGTAAAGTATTAGTCTGCCCAGTTATTGGAAATTACATTTTTTGTGTGTGAGAGTAGACTTTTTCATTCCTTCCACTAAAGCAGTACAAAACATGGGTTCTTCCAGAAAATGCTTAATTTTAAGTATCTGCATTTAATTGCCAGGTAGAAGAGTGCTTACTGTAGGCATGAGACTTATTTCCAATTACACAGTTTCTCTAAAAAATATTGTTTAGTTACTCAAAATATGTGTCAAACTGCAGTGAGAAGGAAGGAGACATTCATAATACAATGTTTAGTGTCAGAATCAATTGCACAATGGACAGAAATGTGTGCAGGCCTGGTGAAGTTTATTCTCTTGATGTGCTGGCCAAATTCCCATTTGTAACAGCAGAAAAGCAGTGTGTGCAGAACGCAAAGAATTGGTGTTCAAGTGCTGGCTGCTCACTGATTTCAGAAGTTTTAGTTTACCCATTGAGGGAGGTGGTAGAGAGTGGCTTTTAAGGGGGTTCTGAAAACCAGTTGTATTGCCCCAGGGGTGACTACAGGGAGAAAGTGTTATTTTCATATCCAACTTAGAGGCTTCTACCACCATTGGAAATAAGATGGCCTACTAAGTAGGGTGATTCCTACATTCTTAGGGAGCCTGCTAGATGAAAGCAGAACATTCTTTGACACTACGGATGCTGCAAGTGTTAAGGAAACATTTTCTACCATCAGTGGAGATTTCACTGCTATAGCCATATACAGTATACCATAGGATTACTGAGGCAAAGTTATGGTGGTTTTCCTGGGTCTTCAAATATAGAAGTCTCCAGACAGATAGCTGTCTGACCATTTCACAATGAAGAGCATACAGGGGAACTCTTCTCCGGGTAACTGCTGGTTTTGGCTCCTTTGCAAATGTTGGATCCTATGCAGAGCTGTGTGCTGTTAGTTAGCAATACTTCAGTTCCCCAGATTACCCGTTTCAAAATTGGTGGTTCAGGAATCCTCAGCAGGTCAGTGTGTTTGTTTATATTTGACAGAGCATAAGTTATTGAGAGCCTAAGGTCCAATAGGACTGAGCTGCCTCAATGAACATAAATGGAAAGCTCGCCGCAAATTCAAGGGATAGCATGCAATCCTGCTCTCCCCGCATGTAAAAAGCCTTTACAAGCCAAATGGTAATATATATTTGCTTCCTATGAAGAGTAAAAGCCTGTGCAGTTGAGGACCTCCCTGTGCACTTGAACAGAATGGGGGAGGCAAGGGAGAGAAATTCATCAAAGCGTCTTGGCATCCTATTGCTAACCAAAGATGGAAACCTGTTTATGTGCAGGGCTTTTGGCAATTCAAGATAAGTACTGCATAAAGAAAACAATCCCGCAGAGTAAAAGAAAATGTAAATAGTTCCTCCCCCCATAGCAGTACCTTCTCTCAAAATATGAATTGATGGAGCATATTACCTTTTAATTCTGGGAAATGCATGTATAAGGAAGTCAGTTTGATTGATTGTGTGAGATGAAATCCAGGCTGTGACCTCATTTGAATCTCTTATTCCAGTGGTGCCAGGATGCATGTCCATTTCTATCTATTCAAAGCAGAGGTGGCTTTCCAGGTGTTGCTGGACTGCAACTCCCATCATCACTGGCCACACAGGATGAGGTTGATGGGAGTTGAAGTCCCACAACATCTGGGTGGCTCCCCTCCTACCCCACTTTAAAGTTTTGGGAACTAGCAGGGCCTATCCAGGTGGTGACATGAAAAAATGGATTGCAATTATTCACCTAATGCCAGCTTGTTCAACAGTAAAACTCTACAGGCATTTGGGAATGACAGAAAGGAAAAGTCCTTCCTCCATGCCATGTTCTCAGTCCAGACTATGAATGGAAGGATTTGTGAATTTCATATATATTTCAGGTAACCCAAATAATCTTCTCAGTTGTCCATGTTTCCAGCCTTAAATTGTTCTCCACATTTTGCAGCAGTCTGTGATTTTAAATTTTTAAAAAATCCTTATGAAAATTCATTGTTATTTCAGAGCATTTCCCTTTTTTAACCATGGTTTATTGGGCTTTTCACATTATTACAATAAAATGGGATAATCCTTTAGTTCCTCTCCCCCCCCCCCCCGGTTTTGCTTCCTCTCTTTGAGCTCACGGCCTCTTCGTCTTGTTTGTATAGCTACAGTATTATCATCTCTGGCACTCAGCTACAGTGTGTCTAGGTTTCCGCACTCTGATGAATGTGTGTCAATGTTCTGCTGTAGTCCTAGATTAACATTCATTAACTTGGGGAAATTCCCATCGCTGCAGTGTGCCTCCCATTACATCTAAATGCAGATATTATTCGGCAAACAGTTCCTAAAATGCACTCAAAATCTCTTGGAAGCTTGAACTTTGTAGAGCAGAATTTTTTCATGGAATGCTGGTTGCAGGAGGTCCTGTATCCAGGTTGCTGTGCTTGGTGTACTCCAGATAGTTCCAATATTTGTTTTGATGACAGTGGAGCCATCCTTCTTGCGCTTTTGATAATCCCCACCTGGCAGGTATGCAACCAACTGCAGTGGTAGAGTTGCCTGTTAAGAGGGATTTGTAGAGAACCAGATTAATTCTAGCCCCTGCACTTCCTTCCAGAAAATTGGATTACTGTGCAGTTCCATAGTAGGTGAGCTATGTCTTTTATATGCAGTTTTGACTAATGTACATATTTTTGAAAGCATTTTTTCCCATTATACAATCATTTCTGTAAGTCATTTTCCCTAAATATTTTCATTTTTATATACACTTCCCCCTAAAATATGCATTTTTGTAAACAATGGTTGGTTGGAAACTGCATCACAAAACTTGAATTCGGCGGAGTTTTGAAGGATAGCTGTGTTTGCTTTGCATATTGTTTCTAAAATACAAATTTGATCGATTCGGCTTTCAGTGCTTCCTGAATCAAGTCTTTCCCTCATCCCTAGTCCAGACCTTTCTTCTCACATGTACACCAAGGCTATATTTAAAAACTTTGAATGTATCAAATAGCTACCTGCTTATACGCCATTACCTAAGCAACCAGACTGATTCCTGCAAAAGGAGAAGCAACCTTTAAACTAGCATTTCTTTTTTCTGTTTGGGGGGGGGGCATTTTTTGCTTGGTAGAGGTAGCATCCTTCCTCTAGCTTAGTAAACGCACCCTTGTCCTTACGCCATCGCCAGAGGGTCAGGCAACTTCCCTTCCGCCCAGCTTGCTTCTGCCGTGTCCGGCCTTTGGCAAAGCATTCTTAGGCAGCATTCTTTGGGAAACTGCATGAAATGATGGGCTCTGATCTGTTCCAGAAGACCAAAATGAATTCTTACTGCAGTTTAATCTTCATCTCACCACCTTTTTTTAAAAAAAATTCTTCTTTAATAACCAGCATGTCTCCCTTTAAATGCAAAAAAAGCCTGTGAGTAGCGTGATTTCATTGGGATCATGCTGCTAAGAAAGACAACAGGGTAAATAAAGCTTCCAGCCTCATCTTCTCAGCGGTAGCAGCTCGGCTGTGAGAACTGTATCCTCAGGCCAGACGTCCTTCTGTTTGTGTTGAAGAGCCCTGTAGTTAGCACTGCTAACTGCTTTGCATCCTGTAGATTAAAGAAAATATACCCTGTCAAAGTGGAAATCACACAGGTACTGATATTGCACAATTTGTGGAAAAGTTATAGAAGTTAGGCAATACCCTGCCATAGCCTTCCTGTAGTTAATATCACTGAGGAAACTTCCAGAAGTGACAAAGGAGGGAAATAATTGACATTTGCTTCAAGCAGGGACACAGCAAACCAGCCAAAACACACAGCAGTCACGACTTGAAGATAAAGGGGCCTGAACTCTGGGTACTGTGGGAAATGTTACCTCTCTTGAAAGGCACATGCGCCAAGGGAGCAAGCTTTTTTCGCTCTGAATTATTATACATTGCCTTATATTGCCCTTTACAGAGGTGTGATGTGAATTTCTTGTCAGCTGTTATTTGGGCTCAGAGCCCAAAGGAAACACTGCGAGTTACATTTTCAAAGTATTCACTAAAACCAGAAGCCAAAACTGAAGCTGAAAGTGCTGCATGCTTTCAGCAGCTGATTTGTTTAAAAAAGATCACCTTTATTGCTCCAACATTCTCAGTTAAAAACAACAGAAGTGAGGAACATTCTGCCCAGTCAAGGAATGGGGAAAGGCAGAGTTGTCTTGTCTGAACATTTTTAGTTGTAGTTTTCCTTGTGCCTTAGCTACGTAAGTATCTCTTTATTTGGTGTTGTTTAATTATATTTACATTTAAGACTTTTCTGTAGCTTTCTGCAGCCATACCTTTAAATGTTCAGAAGACATGGAGGAGGGCAGAGCGGAAGAAATTTCTTTCTACTAGAGCTGTAGAGTTACTGTGCAAGCAGACAGGAAGGTAGATTTGGATCTCCAAGGTTTACTTGATGTGTGTGATGCTTTCAATCCTATCTTTGGAACTTTATAATTTCCTCCATATTGGAATGGGAAATTTAGTTCTATGGTTTCCATGTTCCTCTTTGCTTTCAAAACAATGCCCCTTATAATTCACTCATTTTCACTTAAACTCAGACTCCCCAGTGCTGCTAATGTTGAGTATTCAGCAAAGCAAAACTAATGCATGCAAGAAATCACTGTGTTTCTATAATAGGCATTAATTTAACAAGGCATCATAATACACTGAAAATGGTTGGTATCTGGCATGGATGTGTTTAGGATGTTGTAGCTGTGCTGGCCCCATAGTATGTGAGGTGCTTTTGAAGGTATCATAGAACAGGTAAATGGGATACAGTGGTACCTCGGGTTAAGTAGTTAATTCATTCCGGAGGTCCGTTCTTAACCTGAAACTGTTCTTAACCTGAAGCACCACTTTAGCTAATGGGGCCTCCTGCTGCCGCCGCACCGCCGGAGCATGATTTCTGTTCTCATCCTGAAGCAAAGTTCTTAACCTGAGGTAATATTTCTGGGTTAGCGGAGTTTGTAACCTGAAGCGTATGTAACCCGAGGTACCACTGTATATAATACTGCCCCAACTTTATCGGCTGTTGAACCATACAAAGTTCTCTAGTAAGCACAAGTACTCAGACCAAGAATAAAAGGAACTAGATTTAGTGTTCTCATAGATCTAGGCTAAATGGCCTATATTAACAAATATCATTCATATATTCATTCATATATATATATATATATATATATATATATATATATATATATATAAACCTGGCATGGTTTTCCCTCAGTGAATCCTGGGCATTACAGTTTGGTGAGAATGTTTTTAGCTGCTCCTAGGATCTTCACAGATCCTTCACGCATTGCCTAGCATTCCCAAGGAAGTCAGAGTGACCGATTGTAAGGGTGGCTGTGTTAATTAAATTAAGTTACCATATTTTTCCGTGTATAAGACGCCCCCATGTATAAGATGCCCCCTATTTTTGGGGACTCCAAATTAAGGAAACACCCCTCAGCACTACCCATATATAAGACAAGCCCCAATTTTAAACCTATTTTTTTGGTTAAAAAAAACCCCTAGTCTTATACACGGGAAAATACAGTATTTTGACCTTGCCTAGAGTTCAGGTTTAAGCCCTTTAGGAACATAGTTGTAGAAAAATAAAATGATGTTGGAGTAAGCATTTGGAGTTGTTTCTTTGGATGCTATTTCTTTACATGACTCAGTTGAAAGCTTTACAAGGAAAATGTTATGTCTACTGTTGAAAATTAACAGTAGATATTTAACATATCTACTGTTAAAAATTAGGGACAAATGTAAACCAAGGATGTTCCATGGCCAGAAACACAAGCACTTCAGAATGCAAAAGGCCAATTTGTACCTTTTCCTTCCTTCAGTGTTTGCACTTAAAAACAAGCAAGGGATAGATTTCAATTTTCTTGTTCCCTTGTGAAGTAATTCCCTACAGCACAAACAGTGCCATTTCACTCCCACATTCACAGAGTGATTATACGGTTAGCTGTAATTATTATTGATCTTGTTGCGGTAGCATGTTGCAACTGGGTGCGATCGTTGTAATCATTGTGTGCGCACATAGCCTGCCACTTCAGAAAATGTGCTTATGCACATCTTTGACTTTAATCACCTGGGGGCTTGATGCAAACCAGCTGAAATTTAGCAGAGAACCACCAATTGACTTTGATGGTACCTGTGTTAGACACTTGTGTCAGATCAATTTACACTGAGCACAGAGGTAAGTTCTTTCCTGAACCATAGCTTCATTAAGTTGTGAGTTTCCTTAGCCTCTGAAGGCATATAGCAAGGGATGTTCATACTTTGCATCAAAGTCTCCACCAAGAAAGATGGACTACAGCACTCAGTATGTATTGAGAAGATCAATAATATTTATGCAAGTTTTCATTTTTGCATACAAGTCATCAGTTGCATGCATTATGCTGAAGCAGCTACAAAGGGTGTTCTTGTTCTTCTTCTTGTTGTTTTTGCTTTTGCACTAGTTGTGTTGGTAGAAGCTGTAGGATAGGCATTAGAAACTGAGGGTTGTTAAGGAGGTTTTTAGTAGAACATGAGTAGGGACCATGAAGTGTGAACAAGTAGCCATACAGCATTCAGGACTCATGCTTACTGGAAAAAACTTCCTTGTTGTGCAGACACAACTTGCTAATTTTCAAATTAATTTCCAGCATGATAAGCAGAAGCATGCTTTGCTTTTTTAAAAAACTGTTAAGAGTCTTGCAAATCTGAGTCCTTTGTCAAACACCAGCTTTCATGGGCATGGATTCACAGCAAATGAATAACATTAGCCCTAGCAACTGACTGGAGCATAAAGTCAATGAAAAGAGAGAAGGAAAATCAGGGTGATACAGCAAGCTTTTTGCTAACTTACAGGGGAGGCTAACCTTACAACAAAATTTGAATAGGTACTATCCAGGGTGACAGGATGCACTGAAAGGTGGGCCAGTTGAAATGCACCTTTCAGCTACTCACAAGGAAAAAGCACCTTCATTTGGATTATTTTAATAACCATTGTTTGAAAACAATTCCTCTCCACTGGTATGAAAGTCAGCTTGCATTATTATCCATAAGCACTCAGCGGACTAAACCATTTTGGGGGCGATAACCACAGTAACAAACTGTGAATGGTATTTTATAAGTGTAGATATGTAATCCGTTATTTTGAAGTGAGGTACTATGAAATATGTAGCATAAAACGGTACTGCTGTTAAATGGGTCGATAATTAAACTGAGCAGCTGTGCAAAGGTAAGCTAACTTTGAATGCAAGGAAACAAAATGATCCTCTGGAAGCAGGAAATGCATAATCCAGTTAAAAGAAGTGCTTGGGTGTACACAGTTTTTATTCCAGTTGAAATCACTGGCCATTTGGATATAGACAGGGTATCTGTTCTACACATGGGACGGAACTGTTTCAAACTGTTCAAGCAGCAACAATCTACATGTTCACATGCCACATTCTGCAACCATCTGAGTGAGCCACAACTCTCAATGAGACTAAACCTGCATATACCCAAGTACGATGCCCTAACGGAATTGTGGGTCAAGCTCAAAGCCAGTACAATGTGCATTATGTCTGTTTTTTTAACTTTTTCACTGCTGAAATACTGATTTTCTGAGGGTTTTTGTTTTTGTAAAAGAAAATCTCCATAGGGGTGAGTGTTTTCCAAAATGAACCCAGAGGTTGGTTTTTTTCACCCTCTTTTCTAGTTCTGGCTACCAGATCCACACATTCGCTCAGTTGGTTAGAGCGTGTTGCTGATGACGCCAAGGTTGCAAGTTTGATCTCCATATGGGACAGCTGCTTATTCCTGTATTGCAGGGGGTTGAACTAGATGATCCTCAGGGTCCCTTCCAACTCTATGATTCTAAAGGAATGATTCAGTTGTTTAGCTCTATAGTGACTAAGCTATGCTACTTGGTAAACTCACCTAGTTTGCAAAGTAACTTTAAGTTCTTCATAGCAGATAAAGAGAAAGGTAAAAGCAAATGTAGTGCATATAATTTTTATGCACATGCAATGTACTGTATTTTGTTAGGTTGGAACTCCCTGTTAAGATTGCAGGCCATTTTTAAAAAAAATTCTAACATGTTTAACATGTTTTTCCCTATTAATATAAGGCCTTTAATTTGTTATTGAATAAAACTCAATATGGAAATGCTTTCCTTTCTAAAATAAATATGCATCGCAATCTGCTTCCTAACCCAGATCAGATTTGGGGCAATTAATGCTGCAATCCTATACGCACTTCCCTATTCGTAAACCCCACTGAACTCCGTGGGGCTTAGTTTTGCAACGATACGCATAGGATTGCCCTGGTAGTCCGACTGGTTTCAGTGGAGCTAAATTTAGTTAAATGCAAGAAACACAACATGTTTATGGTAGCATTGAAAGTTCTTTATTCCAAATATTATTTGGCCACATGGTTTTTAGGAAGCTTGAATTATGGACCAGTTTCTAACAACTGATACACTCTGACAAAGAGAAGTGGTGAGTTTGTCAACTTCCTTTAGTCCCAAATTTGCTCTGCTGTTTTTAGATGAGGGACCCAGGGATGGTGTACACAAAGACAAAAATTTGAATCCTGGTCTCTTAAGAATCTCTCCCAGTGTAGCAACATTGTTCGTTGACAGAACTGTGGCCAAGCTGCATCCTAAACAAAATTATTTGCTAGTGCAGTATGTCTCAGGATTGGGCTGTGAGAACATCCTGGGTTTAGCTATTTCACTCCATTCCTAGTACAACTGTTAAAAATGCAAAGAACAAAATACTTTCACCTTGTAAACTTCCAGGAAATCTTCCAGGAAATCGTGACACCATGCATCCATGTATTGTGGATTTTGCATCCTCATTTCATGTGAGACAATGCATTCAGAGTTAGCTGCCTTTTTGAAACAAAAATTTAAAAACAAAACTACTGTATGTTAATTTGAAAATGTGAATAGTATTTTTATAGCTTGTTAAAGACATGGCTAGTTGCATATGTAAATAAGGATAATGTAGTTTTTATTTTCCTTTGTGGGCCTCATTCCTTGGAACATAATTGTCTTAAGCTTGATTTGTATATAAGTAATTGGCTTGTGATTCCATCCTCTCTCCTTCCCCCT